AATATTTGAACTGCAAAAATTTATGGTATTGAAAGTATTTATATCCTGTTAAATATCTAATCACTCTATCACTAAACAGATGTGCTTAGTACTTCAAAAATTATGTATAAAAATCTGTGGAACAATCAAAATTGTGGAATTAAGCAACTTGTACTCAATATTTTTTTTATCAATCACTTGACATTTCTATAGTATGGAAACAGCCTTGATTGATATTAGGTACAGATGAATTTGAAACACGTGCTTGAAATGATAAACTAAGGTAGTTTAACTGAGTAATAACACAAAACATGTTTAAGTTAGAGAATTTGATGAGAAATATGAGAATTGATTAAATTTTATAATATTCTAAAAGTTCTAATTTTAAAATTAAAAAAAATGAATTTTTGTATTGTTAATGTAATAATAATAATAATAATAATATTAGTAATATTACTTATTTTAATTTATAACTTTTGGTATGCATGTGATTTAATATTTTTCGCCATAAAAATTGGTAAAAAGTGCTAAAAAGTAATATATTAACTATAAAAAGTTAATTCATCTAACAAACCTTGAAAAGAGTCATTCTGATGATGATGATCTTGAATAATGACTCGGTCATTTCAAATTATTTATCTAAAAACATAAAAATACAAATATTTCATTTTATTTTATATCACATTGTATTGCAACCCATGAAACCTGCAATGTCAAATATTTTCTGCGTGTTATTAATTGATAAATACTATTTATCTAATCTCTGACATTCATCAATCAAATCCAGTTCAATATCCAGTCCTTTTTAAAATCTTCAATTGCTTGTTTCCCTCCGGTCGATCGAAATTTCTTAAAAATAATGTGAACTTTGACTGCATTATGAATTCTGTCTATTCCATAACCATAACATCCGTTCTACAAACGGATATGTATCCAATATTTGTTATTCTTTTTTAATCAATAAATTGATCTACTTACTGACTTGTAGGTATTTGAATAAATCAATGCATGCGTAGTTTCATATTTTATTTGAGATAAGATTACAAAAAACAATATAAACGTTCGAATTAAACAATTGAAATCACTCTCAGTGCGCATCTTGACTTTCTTTGTCAAATATTTTTTAAATTGACAAATTGATAAGCAAGATGACACGCATCAGTGTTGTCCTTGTGGCGGTGATGGCCCTTTTTGGTCATTCGGTAATGTCCGAATACGAATTACTTCCAGAAACTGGTTTAAATATCGTAAGTATATTAAACATTAAAATATTTAAAAATAAAAAATTAATAAAAAACATATTTCTTAGTTTGAACTTGCTGAATTACATGGTTACCCAATGGAAGCCCACGAAATAGAAACCGAAGATGGCTACCTCCTTGGTGTTCAACGCATTCCCCATGGCAAATCCAACGCTGGCGAACCAAACAAACCTGTAGTTTACATGATGCATGGCTTGATGTCCTGTGCAGCTGATTGGATCAACATCGGACCAGAAAAGTCCCTTGCCTACAAACTAGCTGATTTGGGTTACGATGTCTGGATGGGTAACGCACGTGGCTCAGCAGAATCTCGCAAACACAAAACCCTTGACCCCGATCATGATAGGAAAGCATTTTGGTCTTTCAGTTGGAACGAGATTGGTCGTTACGACTTGCCTGCTACAATCGACTACATTCTGGAACTCACCGGTCAGGAACAACTTCAGTATGTTGGTTACTCCCAAGGAACCACTTCATTCTTTGTGATGGCATCTTCCCGACCTGAATACAACGCTAAGATTAAAATGGCTACANCGACCTGAATACAACGCTAAGATTAAAATGGCTACACTTTTAGCACCTGCTGCTGAAATGGAACATCTTCAACATCCTCTTGCAAAATTACTAGCACCAGTTGAGAAGAGTATAACTTCTCTTTCTGAAATGATTGGAGTGAGGGAATTGTTGTCTAGGAGCGACTTTCTTCAAAGTCTCAGCAACCAGTTATGCACCAATGATAAACCTATTCAAGAGTTATGCAAAATCATTGTATTTTTGATTGCTGGTTATGACCGTGCGCAATTAGATGGAGCTTTTATCCCAGTTATCACTACCAACTCACCAGCTGGAGCAAATTTGAAACAATTCCTTCATTATTTACAAAATTTGAATTCTGGAGGATTTAGGAACTGGGACTTCCACGATGAGGCTTTGAACATTGAAGCTTATGGTACTGCTGAACCTCCTAGTTA